TCTACTTTGAAAAATATACTTACTCAAACTATAGATACTATAATAGGAATGAAAGTTTGATTCTTTTTGTTAATTTTTGATAATTGAAAAAAAAGTAAACAACTAACTAAATTTAACTAGATTTTTGTAAGATGAAAATAATATAAATAAAATATTTTTTTTCTTATCATGAATCAGCAACAAGTATAGGAATTCTATTGTGGAAGTATTTAAATTGTGTTGTGTCAAATAAGAGTAATATTATTCTTTACCCTTACTAGAGATGTTGTAAAGGACATTGACTAATTTAAAGTTTGAATAGTCCTGAAGATGGGCTAGGTAAGGATAATACTAGTTCATACTCTAGAGTTCCCTCTCTCCCTCCACCTAGGGGCTAACATCTCATATCAAGACCTAAAATAATAAACCAAATTGGGGGCTTTAGCCTGTCACTCTAATGTCCTCTAACTCTACACCCTTCAAAGTTTATTTCACTATTTATTTGCACTCAACCATATGAATTATATTCTTATCCATACAATCTCATGTGATTTTTACCATTATTTGACTAAGACAATACCATCTCGGATCTTACATGTTCTCACAACAAATATTAACATCTTAATTGATCAAACCAAGAAGTAAATGAAGTACAAGGATTAAATCATCACAACTTATTTTGACATTAAAGATCAAGACTTCACACAACTTCCATCCAACACTTAATTACTTATCATTTTAAAGAAAAAGATAAAGAAAACTAATTAGAATTCATGGAGAAAACACAACAACACTTAAGTTCAAAAGTATAAATCATATAAACACACAAAAAGTCTAAATTAAAACCTAATGTAGTCATAAAGATAAAAACTTATCTCAGATTCCTCTCTACCAAACTCTTGAAGTTCTTTTGAATCTTTTCCTTCTCTCACAATACTCTCTGCTAACACAACTACAACTCCCTTTCTTCTCTCTAAAAGTATCCTAATTATTTTAGGATGAGAGGCGCGGCAGAAAGAAGTCTTAATGAGAGGCGGTGGGGGGGGGCTTCAATTCAATCCAAGTTCTTTTATAATTTTCCAAAAGGTGCTTTGGTGCCTCTTCAAAAATGTGTCCACATTCAATGAATCTTCCAAGATTTGCCTCCTTTCAATAGCTATTTGAATGTATTTTTGTGCCAATTAACTATAATTCACGTTTTCACCAAGAGTTTCTTTAAAAACCCTTTTAAAATTTATCCAAATTCATTGAATTTTCAAATAACTTCCTCTAACGCGTAAGCGCGAGGTACGTGTAAGCGTGAGGTTTTCGGTGCCTAGGTGCGGCCTTCTCTATTCTCCTGGAGCTTATGCGTCAATCCTGGGCAGTTAGGCTCCACAGTTCATTTGCACACCTTTATCATTTTTGCTCCAAATTTGATCTTTTTTTACTCCTTTCACCACATTTCTTCCATTTAAGTGTACCTGAAAGAATAACACACAAATACCTTCCATTAAAGCGTAATATCCTTAAAAATAAGTATAAAATATGTGCATAAATGATAAATATTTTAGTTGTATTAGTAGTCGGCAAACCAAAGCTTGGAAACATAATTGAGGTGAAAAATATTGATGCAAAAGACAATACATCATCCAATTGGTAGAAATGGTAGCTAGCAAAAAAAATTAGAGAACATCTAATTATTATGTACTTTGTGTGGATAACATAAAACCTCGTGATAAAGTTGAGTAGCCCAACCATGACAGTGATTGAGTGTTGTTGCGGTTGGAAATACTCGTAACTCGTATCTAAAATGGCAATGCAAAACATAAAAAAGTCAATGTCACAAGTGTAGTATCAAGATAAAAATCTCAAAAGATGCAAGTGTAGTAGTAATCATAAATGTCATAGTGAAATGTAGTATTAGTTTAGAATAGCTCAAAATAGATAACCTCCTGACCAAGCCAAGATGCAAGTGAGTATTAATCAATTTTAGTTTCAAAGTGAAGTTCAAAAATGCAATGAACACATTAATAAAATAAATAGTAGTAAGCCCATAGATTGTGATAAAATTGGGAGTAATCCTAGTTATGGTATAATATGTTCTTTCAGATCCAAAAAATAAGTGAATTCTATCTTAATAGCATACATAAATACCTAAAGGCATCTTGATCCATCAGATATTCATAAGTGTTATAGAATATCTAGTTGTAGTAAAAAGCAATGACAACAACACATACGTAAAAACCCATGAATTTAACAAAACATTACAATCAAAGAAATAAGCAAGAGAAAGTACATATCTTAAAGATCCAGAAATCAGCCATTAATAGAAATTAAAGCCTAAAAATGATAGGAGGTGTCTCACATTTTAATTTTCCTTTTATGTTTTCACTTAAGAGCAAAATGAATTTTGTTAACCAACAATTTCTTTGTAGTGCCAGAATTAATAAAAATCCCAATTTTTCTCTCAAGCCAGATTAAATGTGCAGTAATTTGAACTGTGAGCAAGTGAAATTTCTTAGCAAAATCTAAATTAAGCTTTTCAACATGTTGCAAAACCTTTTATAAGGTTACACCCCATATGAAAGAATTGACATCAAGTATGCACCTCTTTAGAATATCGTTAAGAAAAAAGGTGAGTATATGTTTCATTTTTTATTTTGACAAAGCACAAATATAAGATTGGCATTTAATCCTCTAATTTGTAAAGCATCTTTAGTTTTCAATCATCTTATAAGGATTTTCTAGATCATAATAATAACTTTAAGTGATCCATTTTTAAACAAAACTAGTTTATGCCATTTAATTTCAGGATAGATTTCACAAGTGAACCTGAAAGCAAAGAAATTTAAAAAAATAGTTTTTTTTTTCTTTTCCATAATTAATTAATGTGAGGGTTTCTATTGTGAGTGCTTAGAATAAAGTTTGTACGAAGTTGTAGAGCATTACTATTAATAGGTAGGAACTAATTATTACAATGTATAATTTCAGAAATCTTAGTGGTAATGGACATGAATACTAACCTAAGTTCAAAATTTTTCCACAAGAGATGAACCATTCAGCCAAGGATCAAGAAAAAGAAACAAGTTATTGTTGCTATGTACTTGAAAAGTAAGGTTGCTTCTAATTCTAGTGATAGCCTGTAAAAGATCCCTCCAGAAAGCAAAACAATGTTTTTATATTTATTCAATAGTGTTAAAGATGCCAATTCACAAGAAATGAGTTGAATTTAAAATTTCTCCAAATACTTTTTGATTTGCACATAAGATTAAGGGTATCAAATTTTGGAAGACCAAGACATCCATAAACATTAAGTTTGGTGTAGTATTCCAGTTAATGATATGCATTTTATCGTCATTTTTGTTATGATGCAAGAGGTTTTTGATGATGGTGAATATCATTTTCCATAATCCCTTAGGAATGATAGTGCATCTAAACCAATATTATAGTTAGTGATAAATTGTAGATTTAACCATTTGTGTCCTATCAATGGATTAAAGCTTTTCTTTCCAACCCCTGAGCTATCTTTGCAATCTCATAGAGAAATCCAATGCCCTTAATTTAGAGGGATGAATGGTAAACCAAGGTAGTCCCAAAGAAGAGGTTTAAGGGAGAAACCAATGGTATTACATGTTGCAGAACATTGGGCATTATTCACAAATTTACAGAAACAGATAGCTAATTTTGAAAGGTCGACATATAAATTGGAGCTTTGTTGAAACAAGGATAAAGCATCATGAAGCGTAACAACTAATCTAAGATTAGCTTTCTCAAATACAAGAAGATTGTCAGCATGAATGAGCTAAGTAAAGGTACAACTCATGGACGCCAAGAATCTAGAAAATGCATCCATGCAAATAAGGAAAAGGTAAAAAGAAAGGGGACATCCTTGCCTCTATTCATGATAACAAAGAAAAATATAAGAGGGAGAAGTACAGGTTTCAAACCAAGTAAAAAAATTTTGGGGCAATTTCATTTGCCTCATTCTATCATAAATGACAGACCTCATTCTATCATAAATGACAGACCTTTTCGCTATATCAAAGGTCTTCATGATGGTTACTTTTAGTGAAAGAAAGGGGACATCCTTGCCTCTATTCATGATAACAAAGAAAAATATAAGAGGGAGAAGTACAGGTTTCAAACCAAGTAAAAAAATTTTGGGGCAATTTCATTTGCCTCATTCTATCATAAGAAGAAAGGGGACATCCTTGCCTCAAACAAAAAGTTGCAAGAGAAATAGCCTCAGAGCTCTCTATTCATGATAACAAAGAAAAATATAAGAGAGAGAAGTACAGGTTTCAAACCAAGTAATAAATTTTTGGGGCAATTTCATTTGCCTCATTCTATCATAAATGACAGACCTTTTCACTATATCAAAGGTCTTCATGATGGTTACTTTTAGTGCATATTTGTTTTGCTTGAGAGGAATTGTTCAAATCATAAAGAAACTTATTAGCTAAAATAATATTATCAGAAATATTCTAGCCAGAAATGAATGCAATTTAGAGTGGACGTACTAAAATATGAAAGGAGAGGCTTAATTTTGTTAGCGAGGAGGAGGACAATAACTTTATCAACTATATTACATGAAGATAAATGCCTATAGTCGTTGAAAGATTCTACAAATTTGCTTTTAGTATAAGGGAATTGCAGAATGTTTTATCCTATGAAGAAGTCTGCCAGTGTTAAACAAAATAAAAAGTGGCATGAATGTAGACAAGTAATATATTAAATATTTTTTAAAAAAACTGTAGGTGAATCCTTCTCAATCAGGTGCTTTATCGTTGACAACTGAAAAACGAAATATTGATTTATTTCACATCAATTTCCTTTTCTCACATGGAGCCACGTGTCAAAATAATGAAAAGCCACGTTACTATATCATAATTATGAGGACAAAACTAACCACGTCCCACGAAACTTACACCACACCACACCACGTGTCTTGCGCCATAGCTTCTATTACTTTATTTACACCACACCACGTGTCTTGCGCCATAGCTTCTATTCCTCATCAGTGCCACTATCGTCATTTCCCACTCCTTCCCCGCCCACCCGCACTATACTCCCCTGCCTACCCTTTTCCCTTACTCCTCCGGCGATCGCCTACCAGATTCCCACTATAAACTTCAATGGCGATGGCCACTTCCTGTTTGTCTCTTTTTTGACCCAACAGATGATTGCTGAGAACTGAGCTCGGATTAATGGATATCGAGCTGGAAGAGGAAGAAGCAGAGGAGGCATCCCATCCCCAAGACCTTCTACATCGTCTTTCTAGCACGAGATGCAGCTACGAGCTTCTTCCTATGAATTGTAAAGCCGAGGATGAAGGTGATACGGAGCTCAGCTTGGGGCTTTCTCTGGGGGGCTGCTTCGCGGTGGAGACGAGGGAGCCACGGCTTGTGCGATCATCCTCGACTGCGATGATGCCAGTGCTCCAGAACGAGTTCAATTTCACTTGTTCTTCGGCCACGCTGGCTAGAACATGCTCACTGCCGGTGGAGGCTGAGGGAGAGCAACTGAAGCGTAAGGAGATGCAGGAATTTAAGAGAATGGAGCTTAAGAGGAAGCAATTGGAGAAGAAGAGTAGTGCGAGACAAATGGCGGAGGTTGGAAGTGGGTATAGAAAGGATGGAGTTTGGATTGGTGGGATAGGTACATCAATGTACTCATACTTTTCCTTTACCCATGCATTGTGCACATAATAATCATTTGATTTCACCACTGTATAAAAGATGAAAATCATATATGTTTCCCTCTCAGGTGCACATTCTTAAAAAGCAGGAGTACTAATTTTTAGTGTACTAGAAAGGTTACTTCAATAATCTCCCATATGCCTCAAATTTCAAATCATACCTCAAAAATCATTTGATGTTGATAGTTCAGTGGACCTAAAGTTGAATTTCTCCATCACATCTTCTATATTGAGTGTTGAAATCTACAAGTTTGAGTCTAGAGCTTTATTTTCTGAAAATTTAATTTCTTATGTTATTAGTTTGTGCCTTTATTAGCTACCTTTTTTAGATATTAATTAGTTTTGTATATCACATATCCAACTCTCATGTCCTTTATGTATAAATAAAGAAGTATACTGTAATAAAGTGATAGAAGGATAATACTAGTTTTGGGTTCTTTTGCTTTCATTTTCCTTTCGTAATATAGTATCAGAGCAAGATCCTCAGCTAATTGTCGGAGGAGACCTGTTTATGGGTAACTCTATTCACTGATCACCGTAGCTTTCTTTTTGCCATTAGAGTATCGGAGAGAGAAGATTCCTCCATGGATTCTGCACACTCTAGCTCATTTTCTCCTAATCAAGGTAGATTCATCATTGATGATCATCTTAGTCCATTTTTCATTCATCATTCTGAAGACCCAGGTCTCATTATGGCTTCACAACAACTGAATGATGATAATTACCCTTCTTGGACTAGTGTCATGATGATTGTGTTATCAATGAAGAATAGACTAGGGTTCATCGATGGATAAATTTTAAGACCCGATCATTCAAATTCGAATAATGCTAATGCTTGGATTAGAAGCAATAACATACTTATTTCTTAGATCTTAAATTCTACTTCAAAAGAGCCACAATTTTATTTTTTGAATCCACCTTTGAAATTGGAGAGATCTTCAAGATCATTTCCAATGTAATGGGCCAAAAATGTTTCAATTGCCCCATGAATTACTCAATAATATGCAGAATCAACAATCTATTAATGTCTACTTTACAAAATTGAAGACAATATGGGAATAATTATCCAATTTCAGACCTTCGTGCTCATGTGGAGGTGTCAAGAATCTGGTTAACTACTTTCCGATTGAATATGTACTAACCTCTCTAATGGGGTTAAATGAATCTTTTAATCAAGTATGAAGCCAAATTTATCTTCTAGATCCTCTTTCACTCATAAATAAAGTTTTCTCTTTTGTTTCTGAAGAAGAATATCAAAGAAGCAACAAATCAGAGGGAGCTGATTCTAAGATTCAAAATATGACTTTCACTGTTTTTCCCAAGGGAATTTAATCTGAAAATTAAGTTAAAAAGAAAGATAGACCTTTTTGCACTCTTTGTAATTTTTGTGGACACACAATTGAAAAGTTGATTCATGGTTATCCTCTTGGATATAAATAGAAACATAAACAGACCTCTGCAAAGATACATCAAGTATTTGCACAACAATATTCTAAGGTTGTCTCGTGTCAAGATAACCAAAATATTCATGGTTTTATTAAGACTTTAAACAACGATCAATATCAACACCTCATGATAATGCTCTACATTCATCTTGGGGCTTATACTGAGAATGTTGAAACAAAAGAAATTCCATCAAATTCCTATAGTACAGGCATATGCTCCTCTGTTTACTTAAATCATGTTCTCAGTTCTACACATTTTTTTATTATGGATTCTGGTGCTTCGAAACATATTTGCTCGAATGCAAATTTGTTTATTTCTACGAAAGCTACAACAAATTTCTCAGTTATTTTACCTAATAAGGAGACTATTTTGGTTCATTTCTCCGGAGATATCAAACTGAACAACTTCTTGATTCTTAAAGATATTCTGTTTGTTCCTCAATTTCAATTCAATCTGATCTCTATTAGTGAGTTAATAAAAAAATTCATCTCTTATGGTGAGGTTCTTTCCTGATTACTTTCTAATTTAAGATTCGAGCGATAAGAAGATGGTTGGCAGGGGTAACAAAATTATTAACTTATACATTTGGATACAAAAATCTGATTATAGAATATTTGCCAGAATTTTTGGACACCAGAAGTATTTCTGTTCAAACAGTAATGTTTCAGTTGTTTAATATCAATTTTCTGCTTCTCTTTGGCATAATAGATTTGGACATATCTCTTCGGGGATATTGCATACATTGAAATAACAATTGAATTGTAATTTCTCAAAATGTGATAACAAAGAGATTTGTTATATTTGTCCCTTAGCCAAACAAAAACGATTGCCCTTTATTTCAAATAATAATATGTGTTTATCCTCTTTTGATTTGATTCATTGTGTTATATGAGGACCTTCTCATACAATGACTCATGGTGGATATAGATATTTCTTAACTATTGTGGATGATTTCACTTGATTTACATGGGTATTCATGTTAAAACAAATGTCTGATATTTGTACTATTATTCCAAAGTATTTCAACATGGTCAAAACACAGTTTGGCATGAAAACCAAAAGATTCATATATGATAATGGAAAACAACTGGATTTAGATATTTTTTCAACAATAAAGGGGTGATACATCAATACTCATGCATAGAAACACCACAACGAAATTCAATGGTGGAAAGGAAACATCAACATTTATTAAACGTTGCTCGTGCTTCGTTTTTCCAATGTCGAATTCCAATTAATTTTTGTACTGAATGTGTTCTTACTGCAACTTTTTTTTAATAAATGGAACATCTTCACCACTACTTAAGAACAAGCTCCTTATGAGCTTTTATATAAAAGTGAAATTGATTACTCAACTTTCAGAGTTTTCGGTTTTCTAGCTTTTTCACCAACTTTATCTGCTCATCATCGAAAATTTGATCCTAGAGCTCGCATGTGTTTTGATTGGATATCCATATGGTGTGACATGATATAAGCTTTATAACATTAAAAATACGCAGGTTTTCATATCAATGGATATTATTTTTCATGAATCCATATTTCCTTTTCATTCAAATTTCATGAATCATCATGAAATTGAATTATTTCATAATTTAGTATTACCTTAAACAACTGCTGATTACCCATCCTCTACATTGTCTCCTCCCAATTCTACATAATTTTAACCTTCCACAACATCCATGGATAATACACCATCAATTGCTCGAGGATCCTCTCAAGTCACTAAAGCCCTTTATTACTTACAAGATTAACATTGTAATCTTTTACAGTCTCAAAAAAATTTCAGATTCAAAGATTTTATTTCCTTTGAAAAATTATATTTCTTACAATTCTCTTTCTCCAACTCATAAAGCTTTAACAATAGCCATTTCATCTCAAGTAGAAACAAAATTCTATCATCAAGCTGTAAAATTTCAGCATTGGAGACATGTTATTCAGTTTGAACTTGATGCAATGGAAATTAACAAAACATTGAGAATTATTCATTTACCATCTGGGAAGCATTCCATTGGTTGCAAATGGGTTTACAAGATAAAATATAGATCTGATGGATCTATTGAAAGTTATAATGCACACTTGGTTGTCAAAGATTACAATTAAAAAGAAGGTGTTGATTTCATAGATACTTTTTCACAAGTTGCAAAACTCGCACTGTCAAAATTATGTTAATTTTAGCTTCATGTCAAAAATGGCATTTAACTTAGTGGATGTTAACATTGTTTTTCTCAATAGAGACTTGAATGAAGAAGTTTATATGGATCTTCCTTTAGAATATGTTCAAAAGGAATAAAATCAAACATCAAGTGACAAATTACTATGTAAATTGCAAAAATCTATATATGGATTGAAACAAGCCTCACAACTGTGGTACTCAAAATTTTAATTGCTGCGATAAAATTTGGTTTAATTCAATCAAACTCTGATTATTCTTTGTTACCAAAGGACCGGGAACCTCTTTATTGCATTACTCGTTTATGTTGATGATATAGTTATCACAAGTCCTTCTCTAAGCCCCACTGGAGAGTTAACATCTTTTTAACATACACAAATTCAATTGAAAGATCTTGGAAATTGAAAATATTTGTTGGGTATTGAGATTGCTCGTACATCACATGGGATTGTTCTTTTCCCGAGGCAATATACTTTACAACTTCTTTTAGATACAGGATTCTTAGCATCTAAACAGCCCGTATTCCCATGAATCCTAGAGTTCAGCTCAACAATACATATGGTGAAGTTATTCAAAATGTTTCTCAGTATAGACAACTTATAGATCATGTACTTTATCTCACCTTATCCAGACCGGATATTATTTTTCTTATTCATAAACTTGGTCAATTTATGGCTGCACCTCGAGTACCACTCCTACAAGAAACTCATTATTTGTTGAGATATCTAAAATCCAGACTGGGACAAGACCTGTTCATTAAATCTACTTCCTCTCTTCAGCTCCAGGCTTTTTTTGATATTGATTGGGCAGTATATACAGATTCCAGGAAATCTACCATTGGATTTTTTTGTTTTTCTTGGTGAATCTTTGATATCTTGGAAAGCGAAAGGCAGGCTACTATTTCTTGATCTTCTGCTGAAGCCAAATATATAGATATAACAACAACTACAAGTGAATTAGTTTGGATATAACAACTAATACATGATTTCAACATTTCTATCTATACTCCAGCACTCTTATTTTGAGATAATCAAGCAGCAATGCATATTGTTTCCAATCCTACTTTTCATCAACGAACAAAACATATAGAGATTGACTGCCATTTCATTCGTGATGAAGTTACTAATGGCTTTGTCAAGTTGATGTCCATTCAGTCACAACATAAATTAGCAGATATGTTCACCAAAGCCTCACCAGTAGTTCCTTATTTTACTTATTGCCCAAGTTGGCCATTAAAGGCATTTACTGTCCATCTTGAGAGGAAATTTTAGATATTAAGTAGTTTTTTGTATAATATATCCAACTGTCATATCCTTTATGTATAAATAGAGAGGTATACTGTATTAAAGAGGCTGAAGGATAATACCATTTTTGGGTTCTTTTGCTTTCTCTTTTCCTTCGTAATAACCTTCTCAAGTTTTATACCAATTAAAATAAAAAACCCTCGAGTACTTCATTATTTTTCTTTCATGTTGTACATATTCTAAAATATAATTAAGCATTGTTGTAGGTTTTTGGTACCAAGTCAACTGTGTATATTGTTGCTCGCTGGAAATAATTCTAATTGCTGATAGAATTATGTTAAATGGGCCATCTTAAGCTTTATATTATGTTATGTGATCAATCAACAAAACTTGAGTTTGACATGTCAACTTGGAGAATTGACCCTCTAGAAGGTCTTTTGATGCTTATGTGACTAAGCTTGAAGGTGTATAGAAGCTAAAATTAATGCAATATAATTTTAATTTTTGGATGAAAGAGTGAGCTTATAGGATAATCAAGTTTCCCCCGAGAATTGAAAACCTCTCAACAACATTTTTAAGCACTGAGACTATGGGTGTTTTGGTACCTTAGTAAAGTGTATGGTGGATGGGCGAGCTATGTCATGATCCTTTGGTTTGTCAGATAGTGGAAAGCCATTCCACGTAATCTTTGAGATACATGAATGAATCCATGGAGCTCTTTAACCTCAAGATTAGTGCATGGATGATTTAAACCAAACCATTGGACTTATGTTGATGGCTTTGAGATTAATGCTTAAATATTATTGTTTGTATTTCATCAAGATGTGAGTTACCATGAATTTTAATGAAATCTATTGGTTTAGGAGTTAGATTTATCACTATATTATTTAATCACTATTGCACATAGCTCTAGGATTGTGAATCTTAACATCCTTGATCAAATGTTTGAAATTAAGCTGGGGTTAAATTTTTGGGATAAATCAACTGTTACCTAGTTTTAAATCATTTGTAAGGGGTCCAAAAATATTTTTCTTTAGGTTCAAATTGGCCATTATGTATTGTAATGCCTCCTTGTCAGACCGAAGGCGATTTGATCACTAATCTTCTAGGACAAGGGTTTGAATTTGAATCACATTCTTATACACACTCCCATTAATTTGTTGCACGAATTCTCTTGGAATTGTGAGTCAATTGGATTGAATAAATTTTGAACTTTCTAAGTTTTGTTAAAATTGTAGTCATAGGGAGCTCATATTGTGATTATGAAGTGAAATCCAAGAAAATTATGCAATGTTTGTCTTATATGTGAGTTAATGATGACATATTTATAGCCAGCATGAGCTTCGATCCTTCGGAGTAATTGATGCTTCCTATCATGTTTGAATATCAAAGAAGGCTTAGCTTGAGCCACACAACGTGACCTGAGCTTTTCTTGGTTATTAATCTGTTGTTAAAGGCTTGGGCAAAGCCGCACATGCTTATTTGACCTGCATGGGCTTATGTACTATTAAGGAGGGGCTATGCTAAACCAAATACATCAATGGTCGAACTTATTTTCAGCTTAAAAGTTTAAACCTATAGGTGAGTGCTTACTACTTATCATTTCTGTAGTAATATATGTTTTTACACTATCTAATGTAGGATTAAATCCTAAATCTCACATGCCTGAGCGAACTATCTTTCATGCGAGAGCTCTTTACATTGGTCGTCATTCTTTTTTAAATGAGAGTTTTGTAACACCATCTACTATTATTTATCAAAAGCCCATGCAACCGGATGGAGATATCATATGAGTCACTAGTTTAAGATAACTAGAAAAATGAAATTAGTAAACCGCATAAACCCTCAATTTGAGTTAAACCCTTGGGCGACCAAAGTTAAGTTGGGAACATAAGTGATCAAACTCGGTTTTAATCTAAAAATAGGCCTATAAGTGAGGGCTCGCCATAAGTGACCATAATCTCACATTTATTAACATGAGTTGTGGGCAACTAAGAAGCTGCATGGGCCCTCAGCCCATTATGATGGTAACTGGAGGTGGTAACATTACTATCTATTGGAACTGGTCTATCTGTAGCTGTGATAATTTTGCAACATTCAGAGGCATTATTAATTAGACCTGCTCCTAGGTTTGTGAGGAGGTGTTTGTAAATGCCCCTTTAACCTTATACCTTTGTTCATTGATTTTGATTGGTGCTTTAGTAATTTCACCTACTTTGGCTACGTCAACATATCAAGAGATGTGAATGTTGACAAATTCAAAGACGGTGACTATCTTTCATGCTCCTTGGGTGGTTGGAGAATACGATATGCCTAAAGGAAAAAACTTTTGATGATGACATTGTGATGCCATTTTTCTTACTCTTTTTGCGCTTAAGAACTATGATGTAGATTATAGCTAGATTCAGAGTCTTCTACACTTGCCTTCCTTGCTCTTTAGGCACTTAAAAAGTGTGATTCACTTGAAGGCAAAATTTCTCGATGATTTGTAGGCATTTGCGGTTTTGACTTTCTTGCCCATTTTGGTACTTAGGACGTATGTTGCAATTTGTAGGCAAAGTGGAAGTTTTATGCTTCTGCCTTCAGATACTTGTGTTGTGTGGCACACTATGACAAATTTCTTGAGGATGCCTTTCTGACACCAGTTTCTGGCTTGCTCCTATGGGCATTCAATAAATATTGTGCTTCTTGCAGGCATTGAAATCTTAGAACTTATCCTTTCTTGCTTTTCAGGATGCATTTAACGGCAAATTTTTTTATTTTTGAACTTTCGTCTATTATTCTTAAATGGTGGGTTAATAATGGTAAATTTCATGGTCATGATTGTATCCTTGAATTTTTCATTTAGTGGCGAGATGACAACAGTGAACTTGGGCAACTTATGTGTGGTAGGTACATCGTGCATTAGATGGTAGATGATGATGGTGAAATTAAGCATTTGATTTAAACCTAGACCCTCTTTTCGTGTTGTTCATCTAATGATGCGGCGACAATCATGAATTGAGGCACCTAGTTGATTGCATTGGAAGGTTTTTCTAAAGCACCCACATATATGCATGAGATTTTTGTACTTCTAAAACTTTTCATAAGACTTGTCTATATTTAGCTTTGTTTTTTATATTAAGAGATCTAATCAATGGACAGAGAAAGTAGCAGAGTAGTGGTTATTAAAAGTCATTCCTTCATATAAGATACAAGCCCTATGGGAAATTTATGTACATACCATACAATTCTTATGTATTTGCATATCTAACGCTAAAAAATTTCACATCATTTTCATTGCATATACAGGAAATAAACTTAGCTAAATGTGACACATTATCACCTGTTAGTAGATTCCCTAATTTCTCATACTTTTTGCCAAAAATTTGCTAAATTCTATATATATTCTGATTAACTAACAGGATCCAAAACCTCAAACTCAAGCAGTTCTTCTGCTGCTCCATCAATATCTGGAACTTATGAAAAGTCACTTACTGCACCTCCATTACCACCATTGCTAAGGACCCTCAAATCTTTTCAAGAAGATAATGAAGTATTGAAGAAGATGGCTGGAAACTTAAACAGATCAAAAGTTATTGGAAGAAACATAATGGCTGAAATGCCTTGTGTTTCAACCACCGGTGGAGGTCCCCGTGGTAGAAGGATTGAAGGTTTCCTCCATAACTACACCGGTGGTGAGCTAAGGATTGTTTGCCTTTGCCATGGAAGCTGCCACTCTCCGGCAGAGTTTGTCAGGCATGCCGGTGGGGGTGAAGTGGAAAATCCTCTCAGGCATATTGTTGTGACACGTGTTCCTTCAACTTATAATTACTAATGGTTTGTGATTGTATGGATTCATTACCCTCTGGTAACAGTGCTTAGTCAGTAGTTGAGTTTTATGAGCAGTTTAATTTTATCCTCTCATTTTTTTTTATAATCTCTCTTTACTTTACAGAGGAGAATGGAGGGTATTTTCAGTTTTTGCTTTGTTTGATTTTTCTTGTACTGCAGCAGGCGCTAGTTTATTTGCTACGGGGCTGTTTGAATTTAGGAAAGGGAACTAGATAAAAACAGGTAAATTATGAATTGAAAGTCTTATTTTTATTTTCGTAAGTTTCTTAAATAATCTGTGCAAACAGCATTAGAGGGGCTAAAGAGTTTTAACTAATCATATATATAGTAATTAATATGTAATTTATTAAATTGTTCATCTTTAATTTTCAGTTTTATATTAGAATAGTAGTATATTTATAACTTTTATTTTGTTGCATAGTTTATACAGGACTTCACTTATTTTTTAAAATTTTGCTGATAATATTTTTACTTGTTGAAGTTTGCATGGTTTTTTCTTTAATTTTTTTTTTTTTTGGTCAAGTGGTATGGTCAAGTGGTATACAAGGATTATTTATAATGATATTATGGTATGCTATAATGATTATATGAAATTAAAAATCTGAATATTAATAGTAATATTCCAATAAAAGCTGGCCAAAGTCTCATGGCTATTCAATGTTAGCAAGCCACTCCTGGACATTCTTTTTTCAATGTTGAGCAAAAATTGTATAGTGTTGAATTCAAAGTTGCTTGTGAGTCACACCCAAGGAATAGAGCATGAGAGGAGAGTAGAAATATAGAGTGTGAGAGGAGCTATAATCTCTAGAATGAATTGTAAAATAATGTAACCCTCTTCAGTACATGCTACCTCAATTTATAGATGGTTTGGTAAATAGTGATATTATATTTCTGCTCCCATTTAGTGAGGGAAAATGATGGGTATTTCAAAGACTTTCTATGGTTATTCGGTTGCCACTTGGCTTGGCTGCTATGTTTAGTTTGCTTGACTTGACTGAGTCGATTTGGTCTGTTGGGCTCAGTTTGTAGGTTTTAGTTGGTTGACTCAACTTGGTTGACTATCTTCAATTTTTGATAAAGAACCCTTTGGCCTTTGTTGAATGATCGAAGAGGTATTATGGAACTAACCCTTCCAATGGATCAGCTCTCTTGTGGGGCAGATTACGACATCGAATCGACTTCCTTTAGATTGGTTGTCAAGGCGCTCTTTCTAATTTTTTCTGTGTGGGTGACTTTCATATGGATCACTTAGTCATTTACTTGTAAGCTTTTGGACTTAGTCGGCTTTAACCTGGTTGACTTGGCTTCTATGGTTTAACTGATTTGGCATGGTGGGCCTCACGAGCTAGTTGCAGGAGATCTTCCTGCACCACATTCTTTTCTTTTGAATGATTAGATCTTTGTAAAATCAGTGCTAGCACCTTTTCGATCTACATAATTGAGTTTCACAATTCTCTTACCTTTTGAAAGCAACCCTGTGAAAAGGTTAAGTGAATTATATACAATAAAAGTATATTTCATTCAATATTAATTAATGAGTCAATGATTGAACTTTCTTGATTTTGAAGCTTTCATTTCTTATGAATATAGCAATGGGTCTCCTTCCCTCTTTTACTTAGCATATGTGTTTTTCTCTATTGGTGTCGACCGGCTTTTGTATCTTTAGGTGTTGTGTGAACAAACTAATGAAATCCCAGGTTGATGTCTTCTCAAAGAGTCTGGTTTGCTCTATTTTCAGGAAATCGAACGACAGGACCGTCTGGAGGTGAAAAGAGGAAGAAAAGCACTATGAAGATGAAGAGGATTGTGCTCCCATTATCAAGTCAGCTAGGGTTGTTAGATTAAATCCTTGATACAATGCAGAGGAATTTTCAGTCGGTAAGCATGAACCTTAATTTGACTTCACAACCTACAGTTATTGTTCAAGGCCCTCTGATCAATCAGGCTACTTAATTAGCTTCTAGTGCACTCGTTGCTTTCACTTGTGTTCCCTAGTGAGCTCCTCATGTCGTTTACGATGTCTTAGCTCATTCGGTTCCTTGGTATGAGGGATAATTGGCTTATGTTTATGGGGTCTGACTTTTGGATTCATATTTGGAGTCTTTTATTTAGAAGGATATTTGGCACAGATTATCTGATTCATTAACCTTATATAAGGGTCCGTCGTACTGCCGGTGATCACTAACTAGGTGTTAGGTGAGGTCAGTTGGTTCTCAAGTGAGGATAATGGAGTTGATCACCCTAACATCTATTAGTGTCACCCTAAGATGCTCGAGGAAGCTATCAAACAGTCCAGATTTCTCATGAGACTCTGGCTCGCCATTTGGATGAGATCTAAACCTCTTTTTCTCAGTTGGTAGAGACCCAGCGTGATGAGGAGATGGGGGAGTTGTTGGCTCGTATGGCGAGAGTGGAGGAGATGGTGGCGACCCTTCATTAGGAGGTCTTAGATCTTTAAGGGAGGCCTCAAGTTTTCCTAGCGCGGGTTGAGTTAGATCAGTTGAACTAGTTTAGTTCTAGAGGGGGGTTTTTGGATAGGAGGCTGCTCTAGCGGGGGCATGTCTCAGTTGAAGCGGCGGTGGATTCTTTATTGAAATATTTTTCTTCCTCGGACTGATCTCTGATTGCTTATTGTAATTTGAATATCATTTATGGAATAAAAACATATTTAATTTTCCTATTTTTTAGTATTGTTTCAATGTCAATCTTTTTTAATGGTGACGACTGATAATTTTTTGTTTTTACCCTCACACGATGTTTGAACTTTCTTCTTATATATATATATATATATATATAAACTGAGTTACAAGGGCTCGCTCCTTTTTCATTTTTCTATCCTTTGCTTTCTCTACCTTTCGTGCTCCGCTTTGCATTAGTTTGATGGTGACTCGATATTCTCCAAGAGAATTTAGGTTGGTGGCATGAGATGACAGTCCCAAATGACTCAAGAGGAGGCAAAGTCACTACAAATGAGTCATGTCTTTGATGACTCAATCAAACCTTGATTCATTGCAAGATGGATAGGGTGATCTCATTGTACAACACAAATCTTTTGTTTTGTAAACACTATGGGTCTGTTTAAGGCAGCTGCAGCTTATCAATAATCATGGGAAAGATTGGAATGGTAGTTTTGCCAGTAAGAAGTGTTGTGTGTTGTGGAGCCAGATCCACTTTCTTGAATGGCAATCTTTGCATTTATGAAAATTATTTAAACTTTTTATTGCATGGATCTCCTTCCTTCCTTTCCTACAGCGCCTCTCCAAATTTGGATCCCGCCTCTTTGATTTCACGGCTATTAAATCGCCTCTTCTCACCAAACCTGCATGGTAGATTTGCGATGGCTGAAGGGTTACAAACGACGAAACAAGGGAAGAAGGAGAAGGAGAGGAACAATAAAGTTTCAAGTAGAGGTTTTACGATTTGAATCTAACAGTGTGTGAAGATTGCGTGAACAAGAGAGGTGAAGGCTTCGTGGGTGTGATCGGACAGAGCAGAACCGAGGGCTTTGGCTATAGAGATTGACAAAGAGGACTAAGGTATGTTTGGGGCAACAGTTGATTATTTATAATCTACTGATAAGCAGATTATTCTGATAATCTTTAGATTATCAGAATAAGCTGACTTGTTGTTTGAGACAGCTTATTTAAAATAGCTTATTGGGAGCTGTTGTTGAATAAATGATCATTCTGCTCCTGTTTGGTTAAGTAGTTTGCAACAGAATTGTTTATGGAAAATAATAGATAAAACAGATGTCTCAAACTATTACAGTTCAGTTACATTCCAAGCATAAATTTGCAATAGTTAAACAATCATAGAAATGGGAAATACCACAGAATTCCTTAGACTGAGAGAATAGTCGAGAGAGTGAACATAGATGAAGGAAGAAACAGAAGGAACTCTCATGTGTTTAGGGCAAGAAGGCAATGATTTTTACTGGAAAGATTGGAAGTCACGGTCTGCACTAACCCTTCATGCCCTAACAGACAGAGAATGAGAAGAGAAAGGAGAAGAAGGTGAGTGCGAGAGAAGTCCCCTACACTTGGGAAGGCACAATCGGTGAAGATAATAACTTATCTACGTCGAGCAGAGGGTAGATTCTCCTCAAAAGAGCGAGGGTGAGGGAGATCTCGAAAGGGGCAACAGAGGAATTCTTGCCCTAAACGTTAAACTCATACGCGGGATGCGCGGTTCCTCTGACTTGCGAAGCTAATAGGAATATAGTGATATTCGAATGCCATGACACCGAATCGTTCAGCCGAACGCAGGTTTCAAATGGGATGGTACGTCTGTTGCACAGCTTCTGAATGATTTTAATATTATCATAAATCAATTATTGCCTATTGAAATTGAATTTGATGATGAAATACATGCACTAATATTGTTGGCTTCATTACCAAATAGCTGAGAAGCCGTGAGGATGGTTGTTAGCAATTCTGCAGGTAAATCTAAGTTGAAATAGTGAAGATGGCTGTTAGCAATTCTGCAGGTAAATCTAAGTTGAAATATGATGATATTCGTGATTTGATTTTGGCTGAAGAGGTGCTCAGGAAAGATTGTGGTGAGAACTTGGGTTCAAGTTCAACACTGAATGTTGATTCTAGAGGGAGATCACGTGATAGGAACTCAAACAGAGGAAGATCAAAATCAAAGCATAGATGCATGTGCAATTTAAGGCATGGTCGACAAGCAACCTGCTGGAATTGTGGTAAAGCTGACCACATAAAGAAGAATTGCAAAAATCTTAAGAAGACAAAGAATGTTAGCGTGCTAATGTTGTAACTGAAGAATTACAAGATGCACTATTGCTTGAAGTTCACAGTTTTGTTGATGATTAGATACTGGATTCATGTGCTTCTTTTCATACATCTTTCCAAAGAGAGTTAATGCGGAATTATGTTGCAAGTGACTTTGGGAAGGTGTATCTGGTTAATGGAGAAACTTTAAACGTGGTAGGGATGGGAGACATTGACATTGCAATCCATTGCAAGAACAAATGGACTTTGCAAATGGTCAGACA